AGTTTTGCATTCTCCTGACCAATTTGTAGTGCTGTATTCCCTTTTTTTGTGTGCTGTCACTGCACACCCGAGACTCCCGTCCCCTGGAGGGCAGAAGCATAGTAGCCACCCTCACTTCCACATCTGACAGATGACAGTCTAAGCACAACTGGGAAACTGAAGGTAGCCACTCTTCGTTACAGCAAACTGTTTATAAGCATGGTATGATCTATTTAAAAATTAGGGGGCCTAAAAATAAGCATTAACCTCAGGAGAAAGAGAACTAGGCTGTAATTTTTAGAAGTGCAGCATAATCCTTCGTGCTTCCATCTAGAAGTTCCTAATGCACTAAGAACATTTACGTGGGAGAAATGAAATGCAAATAACACTTTTCCATTAATTGCCTACCTGGAATATATTTGTAAGTGCGCATATGAAAGAGGAAATCTATCTTCTCACAAAAATTGATCAGTAAAGACTGCAGAAAAATGCTGCTAATCCTTAAATGAAGCTCTAAATATCCAATAAAAGGAGACAAAAGGCAAACCAGAAAAACATGCTACAAAATACCCGTGGACACCACAAAACTTGAAAAGACAAGAGTGTCCTCTAGAAAATTTAAAAGAGCTGAATCAAATTGACAAGTATATTCCTTTTGAGGAAAACAGTATATAAGTTTGTTGATCAAAACTCTGACATCTAGAGTGTTACAGCCTAACTAACATAAAGGAGCATCTATTACCTCAAAACCAAGGTTTCCAGGTTTCAATAAAGGCATGCTAAGGAAACAAAATTGTGGGTTTAACACTAGTTTTCTTATTTTCTTCCATGCTAACCCTGGGATACAAGTTGTAATCTGAAGCAAGCAACACATGGTCAAGGGTATTCTTATATAATCAGCAGAGAACAAACTGTTCCTTTTCTTCCTTAAATCTGTGCCCAATCATACAGACAGGGCTCATCAGGACAGTTTTGCTACAGAGTACTTGCCAGTGAGAGAACAAAGGTTTTCCCCTACGCTTTTCCTTTCCTTTTCTTTCCCCTCTCCCCCTTCCAAGTGAACATGAGATACAGGGGGCTGTTGGGTCAAGATGATTTATGGTAGACATTTACATTAAAATTTACAAGTTCTGCTGATGCAGGGAACATGGTTAATCTGTAAATTTTAATTTGCATAGCTTAAAAAAATTCACGCCTTCCTTCCTTCCCTGAAAATATAATATAGCCTAACCATGCTGATAACATCATAAATTGAAATTAGCCACCTTCATTACAGATTAAGAACAAACAAATTGCAAGGGAAATACAGCTATGGGGTTCCAGCAAGTAAAGCAGAATAGTGAGATGAGTAACACAAGCAAAGCAGGCTGATGGGATAGAAAAGGCTACCTTGTTATTTGTAGTCCTCCCGCAGGAGATTTCAGATCGCAGTATTTCTTTATCACTCTCCATTTTTAATAATGAAGAAAATGTTTTGCCATATGGCAAGAGTAAAGAATGTCGGCTAAGTGTGTTCATAGGGACTTCCCATGTACGTTACTACAAATAGTAGAACACAGGGCCTTATTCACATTATATAAAGATGACGTTTAATGAAGAAATTGAACACACATCTATTACAAGGCATTGGTTGGCATGAAGTATTTCTGGTAAAGCGAAAAAAAAACACAATCAGGACTACTTTTTAAAAGCACACAGCTTTTTCCTTCACTTCCTGATCAAAATTCAATACTGACTGAACAGTTTTTATGGTAATATAAAGGAGTATTTAAGAAATAAATTACAAATGGGAAAGTAGAAAGTAAATATTAATATCTGATTCACAGTGCACTTTATATGAAATAAAATGGATTTGCCCCATAGCCTTTCCAAGTAATATTAAAAAGATTTTTCTCTCCTTTAACATTGCTTAGCTTCCCAAAATATGTCCAGTACTTCCTATTTAATAGAACAACACCTACCAGTGCCAGATAACACCAGCAAAAAACCCTCCAGCCAACCTTCCAAAGGAAAACAAGTTGACAAGTAGTTTTTTTTCAGCTCACTGTAGTAGTTAAATGTATCACCTCCTCCCTTTCTAATATTTCCCTCCCTTAAATGAAGTTGAAGTTGGAATAACCGTTCCCAGCTCTACCAGGCTTCAAGCGTGGCGCGTCGATGCTCGAAAGCTTGCACGACTTTCTGATTTAATCGGCTGGTCTGACTTAAGAGGCTCTTCCAGCACACCTGGTCCTGTCTATACCCCTATGCTGTGGAGACCAGAGCAACACAGTTACTGGGAAACCCTGGCATTGGAAATATTTGGCAGTAGGGCCCTGGGGATGAGGTGCTAGAAGATGTATAGGGTCTCCCTGCCTCAGCACCTGCACCAAGAACCTGCTCAAGAACTATGTAGGGGTCTCACCCCAGCCCCAAAATAAAAATCAGAGTGGAACAGAAAATATTTTTGTAAATCCCCCAGTCAAACAGGAGAAAAACTGGGGGCAACATGCTTATCAACTGCTCAGACAGCATATGTGCTCTATTTTTGTGCAAAATTATAACTATTAGCCTAAATTAATCCTAACTCATCACAAATTACCCTAAAGAATTTAATAGCAAGAATGTACTTGTCATCCCCTTCTTTTTCTTTTTTTTTTTTTTAAGAATGCTTAGGACATATGCTAGAAATACAGACCGTATCATATCCAGCAACATCACTACTGATGAGATGTCCAATTTCATTACAACATGCCCTCCCAATTCACCGACGTTCACATGAAGGCAGCAAGCCCACTCCCCCCTTGCTTTCCCAATTGAGTGTTTTGGGGCAACACAGAGCTTACAGAATTTCAGAGCGCGCACTGCTGAAGTCCCCCTGTGCCTTCTAGAACGTTTTGCTCTGAGAGGGGGTGCGGGATGCAGCCTAAAACATCAGAGAAGAGGTCAAGAGATTATTCAGGGGTTTGCTGAGCAGCATTCTATATAGTCATTTAAGTGCTTCAGTAGCATTTGGACTCCTATTTAAATTTAGATAGCTACATTGTGTACATCACACTGTATTGAAACTTTTATTATCTAAAACTGTGGATTTGCATTTTTAACAGGGTTTAGTTTAAGCTTACACGTGAAGGAATATATTAAGAAAGATAGCCCCACCTACTGACAGAACAGTCACAGTACAGAGTAAAAATTAACTTCATACTTGCTGACCAGAAAACATGGGTTTTCTTTCCACCTCTTTCACACAGACCACAGAATCACTTTATACCAGCAGGGCAAGAACTCAGATCTCTCACTTTCCCTTTGCTCAGTATGTAAACTCAGATGACAGAGTAGTTTCTCATTATCCTGTCCAGAATTTACTGCTACTTGACAGAATAACATAGGAACTTTGTTCAGTAGTGTCAGACAATGAAGTTCAATACAAAGCTAATTGAAGAACCAAAAGAATCAACTGAAACCTACCTGAATGGTTCACCTGCATATCCTATCTCATGTATTGCTTCCTCTGCTCAGGATTATAAGAACATCTTATCAAGTCAATAATGAGCAGCGTGAGTTATCCCCTAAGTATTTTGCAACTTCAGTGAAGTTTGTTTTCCAAGTAATAATGGGAACATTTTTTCCTTTGAAATCCTGTGATCCCATTTCCCTTTGTTGTTTGGTTTTTGGTTTGTTTTTTTGTTGGGTTTTTTTTTTTTTGAGTAGGTAAACATAATTCTAGAATTTAGTTTCAAGCATGTTAGTATTTAGTAATAGCCCTCACCTCTTCATGTGCTATGTCACTATGCATTTGTAAATAAGGAAGATTTTAATGTTGTCTATCCAAAAAGCTCTTTTTCCCCTTCCCTTACAGCTTAAATTTCTCTATATATTTATAGCTGTTCCAAAGAACCTACAGAACTGCCAAGAAAAAGTTGCAAAGTTTCCCCACAAGATTCTTTCACAATTAGTTTTCTCCTGCCTATGCCTGACACAGTAAGCTCTCTTGGAAGTACTTTGCTTTTCCTTTACTTTAGAGCCTGAGAAACAGGTGGTGTCAAGTCATCCTACAATAAGTTGATTTTTTGAGCATGTAAGGTGAAGACGACGGTGCTGGACAGACAGGCTAACACTGCTAGTAATTCCCCACTATGTAACTCGTCTTCCCTCATCTATTTTTCCCTCTACAATGCTAAGTCAAGTCACACCCAGAAATAAAGATTCATTACATGCACAAAGCTCTCAAGTAGGCTAATACCCTTGTGCAGTTCTGTTATCTTCTGCGCTTACACATCCAGACAGCACTGCAGGAGGAAGCACTGTTATACGGATAACAAAAAAATTACTACAATCTTTTTGTAATATTTAGCAATGGTGGTGGTTTTGCAAATGAGATAATCAGGGTTTTTTTCTGCTTTTTCCTCTTTTGTGAAAAGTTAATTTAATTATTGAAACACGAGATAATGGGAAGCACCAGGATGAATTAAAGTATCACCTTGTGACGGAAGGGACAAGACTTGAATTCAAATCATGGTGTACAGAAATAAAAACAAACAAACAAACAAACAAACAAAATACAAACAAAAAACCCACAAATTGCCACTTGGACACAGGAAAATTTAACTTTACTGCCACAGTGTTTCCAGTTAAGAAATTGCTGTATGGAAGCTGATGGAGCTTCTTTTTGTCTCTAGGTTGTTGCAGGGCATAAAAAGTGACGCAGCATGCTAATAGTAGCAGAATTTGAGGCATATGTTCATATTTAACAGGGACTGTGTGAGTAACAGCTCTTTCATAAAGCTTTTACAATCACTACATTCAAATATTTTCAATCAATGCAAAACCAGAGATTAATTCTTCAGGTTCATTTTATTAGCAATGATGATATAAATCTCTTATGAAAATATTCTTAACATTTCAATATATAAGAATTATCTATAAAAATATACTACTACATAACAAAGCCAGTAACTTCTACAAAACATATCACTCAACATATATTTAACAATATATAAGACATAGTAAAAATCCTTTAATTAATGCTGAGGGTATCTTACCCCCTTTTTGTCAAACAATAACTCACATAACATAGGAAATTACTCATTCTGATATACAGAAGTGTTATCACCATAGAAGTCTATGTATGTTCCACCCTGAAGTTATCTGCATCTGCAGGAACGTAAAGCCAGAACTTTTCTTTGGATGGACAGGCAGTTATGACCACAAAAACATTCTGTTGGTCGTCCCTGCTGAAGTCAGTGCTGCACATCTGCTGGCAGCACTGCCAACCCTGAATCCGCACAGGGACACAGATCATGCTTCTACTACCCTTGTGGGAGTCATGCCACAGGTGAGTCTACCACGGTTACCATGGTTAGAGCACTGGAAAACAGACTCTTCCTGGTATTTCTTCCTAGAAATAAACCTTCTTCCAACAGACTGTTCTTGAACAAAAGCTGAAGGAAGAGAAAATACTGCAGAGGGGAAGTGTTTACACTAAATGATGATCAAGGGTAGTACTCTCCGTCTTGTCATTCTCAATTACAGGAACAGCTGTCTTAGAACAGATTTTGGAACTGGGAAAGAGCCTAGTTTCAGGTTTCAGCAGAAAAATGACACATTGAACTAGTTGTTTCACCAATGCTGTTATGCTGAGGTTACTTCATGCCTGGTGTTAGACAAATGGAGGAAATCCATTTTAATTATGTAGGCTGCCCTTGTCTACACAATGAGCTTGTTAAATTCTTAGTGTAGATGTATTCAGAGAGCTTTTAGAGAGCATACTTTGACAACCAACTTAACCTGAAAGAAATTGGGTGCTGCACAGTGACAGTACATAGCTTTTTCAGCCATCAGCTTTATATAGAAGAGTTGGGTACATAAGGCTTTAAGGCTATACAGTCCCACTGAAGACAACAGATGATGACAGTGTTTTGCATAGTAAAGAACATAAGAAACATGTTTGTGAGGCATCAGTAACAACTAAGTCTTTTTTGTGTTTATGTGCAAAACAACCAATAATTAGTTATTACTCTTTCTATTCATGATCCACTGAAATCAGTACATTGAATTAATACGTTAAAATTCAAGAGAAAGTTAACTTCATAGCATAGGAGTTGCAATGCAACAATATTCCATCATATTACAAAGGAAGGGCTTCCTATTAGAAAAGTACATTTATCGAACTTGAAAATACTGTAAAGATCACAAGAGGACACTACAGGCAATGAACATTAATAATATATTTCTGACTCAAAGCTTAGAAAAATAACATTTGACCCTGAGAAACTTGCTGTATTAAAACTTAAAAAACTAAAAAAGCCTTTCAAAAGTAAAAATCTATCCAAGGAAAGAAAAAAAAAAAGGAAAAAAAAAAAAAGGAAAAATCAGACTCTGAAACAATCAAGGCCCAGCCAGTTTAATTTCAGATTCTCAAACTGCTAAGCTGCAGAAGAGAAAAAAAAAAAAAGTTTTACCATCTTAACAGGAATTGTAAGAAATATTTTCAATTAAAAAAAAAACACAAAGCATTTTAGGATATCCATACTTGTGTATAATTTCATTTTTTTCAAGGCTTCCAATAAAATTCAGGTTTTCAACCTACATTTGAGAGGAAGAAGAATTAAAAACTTGAGACGGTTGAAAAAACTTAAAGCTTAAATGTCTTCCATCCCCAAAATCATCTGGAAAAGCTAGTTATAGAAGCTAGCTTATGCTTTATGACTAGTGAAGCCCTAATCAAGTCCTTCATTCTTACTCCAGTTTAACAATTCTCTAAAAGATGGATCAAAATCCAAATAACGTTCCAAAACCCACAATATTATCCAACATAGGATCTTGTCTAGATTATTTTTTTAACAATTTAAATATTTAGGAAGGTTTAGGAACAGCAAAAAGAAATAAGTAGATGAAGCCATAAGGAAACCCTATAGGTTTGGACAAAGAAAAAAAAAAAATCATCTGGGGGTTTTGGCACTACAGGTATGGAAATATATGGAATAAGTTTCTGCAAGAACTTGAGAGAAAAATTAACAATCACTGTATCGGGTTGTTGATTTCAGGTCAGCTTATTTTCTACACTTATGTGTTAAGGGCAAGAAAACAGTCCTGTCTTCAGTAGTCTGCTCTCCTCTACTCAGTGTAAACAAGATTCATTGAAATCATATGACCTAAAGATTTTTCAATATAAGCTTCCACATTATTTTTATTCTGTACTGACAAAGCATCATTCATATGCTGTTACCTAATTCCCCTTCCAAATGTTTTCACACTGTCATCAAGTTCAGGCTACTCTGGTTTTGCCCTCTCCAACAACCTTACTAAAAAGTTATGTAGCTGGATCAGCTCCCAGGGCCAGCTCACCACGTAACCGCATAAGCATGAGCACTGAGCCAAGGGCAGGGAGCAGGACTAGCTGGCAACAAGTTTACATCAATATGAACTGCTTTGGAACCACACCTTTGTAAGTGTCAATTCAAACACATCCATATTAAACATGAAGTGAAGCAGTAAAAAACGCAGTCTATTTTCCTTCCCTCCCCTGAAAGCTGTTGCTCAATGGCAGTGATGGCTGAGCAACAGAAGGAAGAATCCCAGTTTACAATTTCAAGTATTAAGCGAAATTGGTGCAAAACTGGAATTTTATTATTACATCAGGCTTTAATGAGATGTGAAAGCAGCTTCATACTACTCCTGATCTTGTCAGCAGTAGCTGAACTTCAGCCTTCAGGAGAAGCAGAGAATGGACAGCTATAAGCAGGAACTGATTCTATCAACTCAAGTGGAATCTGCTCGTGCCCATACATATATATAGATTCAGGGTGCCAGTTTACATACTGAATCTTGCACAGAGATGGCTCCTCACATCCAGATGCATCCCAAAGTACTACACATATTCCAGTCCTTCGGGACTCGAGTCCCGAGAACCGCCCTGCCAGGGTGCAATGCTTATTGGCAAAAGATATGTGACTAGACATCTGTAAATGAAAATAAGAAAACGTCCACCATCTTTAGTAATTTTGAAAAAAACGGGTATCAAGTCTACAGAACACAGCATTCTCCTTTAGAAAAACACTGGAGTGTTTTTAATAACTGAAACACTGTTTTAAATAACTGAAAACCACCTCATGATACAAAGGACCAAATAAAGATACAAGTTAAAATTTCTTTAAGCACTACTGAGACAAGACCCAAAAGTATGTAAGACTAACATATATCAACTAAACATATATTCCTCCTTAAACATGAAGGACACTAAGATCAATAACACAAGCCTTTTTTCTTAGTGTTTGCTGCTGTCAAGATAAAGCCTATAAAAGTGAGAAGATGTGTAAAGGAAGTGACTAAGTGCAGATTTAAAAGGGCCAGCTGGAGAAATGGGGCGAAGCTGCCCACTAGCAGTGCCTGATGTAGTGTGGATGCCTCCATGTCATGAGTTGTGTAGGCATAGCTCCATGCTCCCACCAAGCTCTCCTCAAAGCTGTTCTGTAGAATCTCTGCTATGACCTCGGCCAACCTGCGTTTTCTGCGAAACTGCAATTACTCTGCACTCTTGTAAATTCTCAGGAAATAGGCAAATGCTTTAATGTAAATCCTCCTAACTTTATGAAGGCCAAGAAGACTTAAACTTGCTTTCATAAAGAACTTTTGTACAGAAGAATCTAAAAAAAAGGGTCATAAGCAGCATTTAAAGTAACCTGTATTAAATACCTAAAAAATATAATCTTTTGCATAGAATAAAGAAAAGTGCACCTACAGCATAACATTCCATACCACAAGAAATGGCTAATTTACGAGTGATATACAATTAACTGTTGTCTCTCATCACCGAGACTGCAGCAACTAAAGACCCGTTTCTTGGGAAAATCACATTAAAAAAACAGGGATTAGGTTGTTTCATTATGTCTGTAAAGCAAGTGCAAACATTTTAAATTCTTTTTAAAAGAAAGCAAAGCTGACAGATAATTTTCACAAGTTAATTTTCTCTTGATATTACTTGGAAAGATGAAATAGCCTTTGTTCTTTTAGAATCCAAATTAAAAATAAATCCCCATTTGGCATCTGTTTTGTGCAAAAAAAAAAAAATAGAAAGCTTGTAAATGTGCAAGATTTATCTGTTCTATAAAAGTTGGATGTTTATAGGATTATAACTTTTCATTCCCTTCTAACTTTTGTACTGCAATCCTTCTGGTAACCAAGCACGGAATAGTATTAAATAAGCCTGGGAGACTGATTTCCACTGTTCAGAAGTATAGAGAAAGGGTCTAAGAAGTGGAGAATCAGAAATTTTAGGAAAATAAAAGCCAAAAAACTATTGTCCAGTTTTGATAGGAAGCAAGCAACTTTTAAATATCTTTCTACATCTCATATTTGCATGCCTAAATATGAGAAAGAAAAGCATATACCTAACCACTTGTTAAAACACCTTCAAATTTTTTTTTTTTAGAATCAACTTACTTTATTGGATATAACTTGGTACTACAATTTGGTAAATGAGATATCTAAAATAAATAAAAATAAATATTGTATATATATTCCAAGATTGCTTATTTCTGTAATGAATTAGTGTGTGTGTTGTTAGATTTCATTTTCTTTAGCTTTTTTCAAGCTTTGTCGCCATTTACGAATGGCAGTTCCAGAACTACTAGCTACTACACAAAGGGCACCACCCACAGTCCACCAAGTTGGTAGATGATTGAGAAAAAGAATTTGCAAAATAAAAGCAAACACCACATCCATTGTTTTCATTATGGCTACGGGTCCAGCTTTCTCTATCTGTAATGCTTTTGTGAGAAATATCTGACCCCCTAACCCTAACAAGCCTATTAATATTAAAAGAACCCTATCTTTACCACAATATGGTAAACGCCATTCATTCATAACAAACAATGCTATAACACATCCAATTAAACCAATGACTGCATAATACCAAATTGACAAAAAATAATGCACAGATTTTCCCACCTTCCTTAGTATAACAAAAGTCGAAGCTGCAGATACTGTGCTTGTAATTGCTGCTATAGTTCCTTTAAGGTGATCTGTGTAACTTCCTTCAATCCCTGTAATGTTTGACCCAAACAGAAATGGTGGTCTGGCAATAAGAACCACTCCAGTGATTGCGAAGAGGGTAAACAGAAGATCCCAAATACTGTATTTCTCTTTCAGAAAGATCCATGCCAGCAACGATGTAAAAACAGGACTGCTAAAAGTTATAACAGTGGCATCAGCTAGTGGCATGACTTGGAAAGCATAGTAGAGGAGAATCATTGCGCTAGAGCCAAGGAATCCTCGGAAGAAAAGAAAAATTCTTTTACCTTTTGGTCCCAAAAACCCTGTTCTGAAAAACAGAAATGCCACATTAATGTCACTGGCTTGCTTATTTCATGACCAACGCCCAATTACACTTAAATGTACACACCCTTGTAGACTGTACACACCTTTCTAGATGAGGGACTTATCTCAAATACCAAAATATTTTTAGCTGTCTGATCACGGACCAATTTATTCCCATCACCACCCCCAATCACATTCAGAGTCCAGAATCTCTTCTTCTAGCTACTCATTTTTTGCTTGCAAAATAACCCAAGAGTATCTACAAATTACCTTCTATTTTTAAGAACACCAATTCAGAGAAGATCAATACATTTGACATAATCCCTGTAGCAACCTCCACAATTCACAAAGATTTTCAGTTTTCTGAATTGTATAAAGAAACTATCAACTAACCCAAAACAATGCAGTGATGCAACTGAAGTCTGAATTTAAATAATATTGCAATCTGATTTAAGCGAGTGATAATTATAGATCTGTTTTTAAGAAATAACTTGTTTAAATTTAAACATTTGCTACACTTACTTGTAGTATATTAAACCAGGAAGAACGAATGCCATTTGGAAAACACATCGAAATGCACTCACTTCCACTGAATGTACATCTTCTATTTTTTTAAGAAATAAAGAGGCCACTGAGAAAAGGAAGGCAGATAGTACGGTATAAAACAGACCAAGTCCTGGACAGGCAGCTTTCTTCTTTGTTCCTGCAACAGATAAACTCCAGTTAATATGATCTATTAGAAGATTTCTCAGGTCAGGTGGCTCTACATACTGCAGTGCTCCATACATTTGTACCTATTCTTGTGGTAGAGGACAGGGGAAGCAAAAGAAACAAATGCAAATATTATGTGTATTTTACCAGACCTACCTTGAAAACACATTTCACTGACCACCACCTTTTTTTCTTAAAACGGGAGATAAGAAATGAACTGTAACACTTTGGATACAAAACCATTCCTACACTTCTCACAGCTCTACATGAGTTAGTAGGCTTTACTTCTTGGAGGCATCAGACTAGTTTGGGCGATTCACTATAGGACTAGTAGTATGATTCTGACCACCGCCCAAGGACCAATAAATACAACTGACTGCAAAATGGTCCATGGTTGGATTCTAAAACACTGAAACTGATTACCTGGAAATAATCTGATTATTGAGTAAGTTAATTAAGGTTCCTAAGCAATAATTTAATTTCCTTTCTCACACACACATAAAAATTGTGTACAGAACCTCAGTTCTGCTATACCTCATGTTTATTTTGCAGCTACATCACTCTAAATTTGACCAAGACCTACAGAAGTTTTATGTAACATTTTTATCTTGACATAAGAATCCAAATATTTTCTTCAAATAAACATCAAATACATTTTTAAGCAGAAGAAATTTAAGTGACTAATTTTAAAACATCATAGGCCTACTTAAAGCACTGATATCTATCACAGTTCCATGAAGACCTTAGTTTCACCGTAGTTTATGCTTATTTATCAGACTTTCTCTTCCTGAAGTAGTTTCTCAAGTCTAATGGTTTCTATTCAAGCTTCCCCATTGCCTTAGGCCCTCTTCAGTGACATACTCTTCCTCGTTCCACTCATCTTCTCCACCCTCATCTATAAAGAAAAAAAAAAAAGGGAAAGCAAACAGAGAGGGTGAACTGCTGCTGACCTCAACACTGTTTCCAGAGAAACCAGCTAAAAATTAGAGTGGGACATTACCTCACTATCTCTTTTATTTCAGCATAAAACACTGGGAGTTACCCTTTCTTCTACAACACCCTCTAAAGATAAGAGCGAGAACTCCATGTCCCTCGGGCAGTGTTTTGATAAAAGGGTGCCTCATCTGACACTACTGTGGGAGCCAGTGAGCCTTTATGGATCCTCTAAAACATAATCAGCAGGGCACTGCTGTGAGTTGCTTAGCAACTAAATGTGGTTTTGAGGGTTTTTTGTTTTGTTTTGGGTGTGTGGTCTTTTTTAAAATCAACAAAACTTGTCACAAACCATTTTGATCTTCCTTGAGATCAGCACTCAAGGCTGAGACACTACTTCTTACTACCTAAGAGCTGAGACTGTGGGCTGACAGAGTGTGTGTAGCATTGGTTCTGGCTTTAACAGCGCTAGAGACTCAGACTTTACAACTGCAACCAGAATTTAAAGTAGGCAGAAGGCCTGCTCTTCAAGGAATCCAGCCCCACTACAGCTGAAAATGAATGACAGTTTCTACTAGAAATATTTCTATTTAGCAACAGCCACTTACATAAAAGTGACTATAAAAACTGATAGCAACCAACACTGGACCGGGCCATCTACCAACTATGAAAGAGAGTGGATTTAAAAAATGTTCATGAATTACGTGATGTCCTAATCCACACAGTCATGCAACAGAACTGCAAAATCAACAATGTCTCTAATATTAAAGCAAGAGGAATCAGACTGGCCTATAACCGAAATGGGAAATCCAAACCCAGGCTGGCTTATGGATGAACATAGCACAAACGGAACTATTAACTTTTATTTCAGGCATGATAGCTTGTCTGATTACTACAGAGCAAAGCCAATCTAAATAATGGAAGTGTTGAAATAGAAAACCAATCAAATTAAAGCAAAGTAAGTTGAAAGGATCTTATACCCAGAACTAAGCCTTGGATTTGAAGGAACAAAGAAAAAACAGAAGGAACTCATTTTTGTAAGCTACCCAATCTACCAAGCCTATCAGAAACAGTATCTTGTAATACTAGAATTTAAACCATCAACATCTCATATTGCCAAAGCATGTACTCAGTGCAATGAGAAAGTGTTTTATTTCCTTTTAAAAATAAAATGGTACAAGTTCTTCCACCAAAACCAAGAACTGCAGTTCTGAAGAGTACTTATTTCAAAATATGTCCTGAGGAGAAGTTAGGTTAAGATAACATTCCCATCCCACAAAATATTAAGCCTCCAAACACTAGCCCAACGCCATCAAAATACTCAAGCGCTCATGCTTTTTTAAAAAAGTGTAGCAGTCTGAAAATAAAAAAGTTTCAAGCAGTACCCAAGTCCTCTTTTCTGAGTGGCTACAGATTTGAGACTTGGTTTTCCAGTTTTATTCCCTGGCCATCTCCACAAGTAAGGCTTTCAAACAATCTTCCACTCCTGTTTTAAGTCCTAGTCAAATGCTTCCTACTGCATGCCATTTTCTATGTAAATTCTTTTTGTGTGTTAATGCCATGCTTTCTTGCAAACAGTTTTTATACTTGCAAAATGCATACAGTGAAGAAAATGACACTTCTCACATACATGCATCTTGAGAATAGTATCAGAGGCAGAAGGCTATGGGGAAGGTGGCCAGTGAGAAGTCGATTCTCCTAGACCTTCAAGAAAGCCAGAAGAGGGTGATCCATTCTTCACACCATAAGAAGCAGAAGAACCGC